CCATTTCCAAGCAGAGAGGAGGTAGCAGCCTTTTGAGAGTGCCCGTGTTGGTGAGCGAGGTGGCACCTGTGGCTTGCTAGGCTGCAAATGGGTGAAGCAGGGCCCAAGGAATAGTCCTGGGAGGGGAGAAGACGTGCTCTATGCTCGCCTCAGGCTATGGAGAAAGAGCTGGGGCATCTGCTGGGCAACACCAACACCAGAAGCAGCAGCCTGTGCAGAATATTGGGAACAGACCATATAGAAAAGTTAGAGACACGACGAAGACTCTGCTGGGCTTTGACAGTCACTTGCTGGTGCCCAGCACCTGTGACTGGAGAGAGCAGGTGGTGGGTTGGCTTCCTGGCCTTTTGCAGAGCCACTGCCCTCATGTGTGGGCATAGGGAAAATCAGCTGCCTTTGACTTATTTCTCCTGCTTTCTGTGGTCAGAATTAAGGCCTGAGCTAAAGAGGTAGTGACCCCAGCCAGCGTGGCTGGTTGCTACAGGCTTTTTGGATGCCTTGGGTGGGGGGAATGTGTTTTTGAAATAGCTTTATTTTTCCCCTGTCAAGAGGTCAACTGCTGAGGCGTGAGAATGCCTCGAGATCTTGCATAACTCTGGCTGGTACTGACAGCTTGGGGATATACATGGGCCACTAAAAATACTGAGCTCCTGAGCCTGGTTAGGGTCTCAAAGTCCCAAAGGCACAGTCATACCCTCGTCTTCCCATCTGCAGCTCCCTGCCTTTTACTGGGGCCTTGCTAGTGTCTTGTCGCTGTAGTGGGCAGCATCTCTGTGAGTTTGAGTGGGAGCACTGGAAAACGCGGTTTCTTCAGGCCTAGCTCAAACTGCAATGCTGGGCTGATACTTTGTAGAAACAGGTTTTCATGAGCTCCCCACCTCCACTGCTGCCCCTGGCCTGGGTTTCTGGGCCTGGTTGATGGTACCTTGGAAACAGCCCATCTCATAGCTTTGCTGTATAGTGCATGGCTAAGTACAGACAGTCAAAAAGCCGGAGGCTGAATCGAGTCAGTCTTTGCAGGTTAGTCTAAACTGCACAGATTAAATTGAAACAGAAGTGAACAGACATTTGGAGAGGGGCAGAGATTCAGCCCCTCCTTCCCCCCAGGAGCTGAGGCTTGCTGGGGAGCAGACTTCAGGACAGAGGAGAGCCTGAGTCATCCCAGGAGAAGCTGGGATGGAGGTGTGCAATCAGGGACACAGGTTGGAGGTGTGCAATCAGGGACACAGGTACCTAGGGAAAGGAGAGGGGTTGGTAAGCTAGCTGGGAGAAGCTGGCTGGTCAGCAGGGATCTGGGTTTTTTGTTTCCCACGGAAAACAGAGAAAATCATGGATTCCCTGTTTTTATTGGAGAAAACACGGATTTCCCTTTTTAGCAGAGAAATCTGTGGATTCTCTGCTTTTGCAAAGAGCTCTTGCCTGCAAGAGCAGATTGCAGAAAGGGCGGGAGCCTGGCTGGAAGGGCGGGGGCGGGCCTGAGCCTCTGAGGCAGCCAAGGCTGGGCGCAGGCTCACACTCACCCTTCGCAGCTGGGAGCAGGGCCAGGGGGTGAGGGCAGGGATGCTCCTCTGTGGGGGGCTTTGCGGGCAAGCGATGCGGGGCGCAGTGTGGTGGTGCCTGCCATGTGCAGGCCACCCACATGCTGCCTGGCCAGCTGCCCAGGGGAGAAGGAGGCTGGCATGTGGCCAGTGCACAGCTCTGTAGCCGGCTCTGCAGCCAGGGCAAGGGATAGGGGCACGGGGTTGCTCACAAGCAGCGGATGCTGCCGCTTACCTGGAGGCCCGTGATGGCGGTGACGGCTGCTGCCTCCAAAACCTCCTGCTGCCACTGCAGAGCCGTGCCCAGAGCTGTGGGCAGCCGGCCGGGCGGCATGTGTATGGCCCACACATGGTGGGCACCGCCACACTGCGCCCCGCATCACTTGCCCGCAAAGCCCCCCGCAGAGGGGCACCCCTGCCTTCACCCCCTGGCCCTGCTCCCAGCTGTGATGTGCCATCTGGGGCCGGCAGCACCTCCCGCCCCCCAACCATCTTCCCCAGCCCTGCCTCACAGCCCCCAAGCCCCGCTTACCTCTAGGATCCACGGGCGAAGGGCATGGCTCTGCGGTGGGGGCGCTTGCCCACAAAGCCCCGCCCTGCATGCAGCCGCCACCACCCCACATTGCCCTGGAGCTGTGCAGCCGGTTGTGAGGCATGCTGCTGTATTCAAGTCCTGTATTTCACCTCCCAGGCAGGCGGCACATATGTGGCCCGCACACAGTGGTTGCCACTACACTGCCACGCCACTGGCCCACAAAGGCGTGGAGGTGGCCATGGGATGGTAGCGCAGGGCGCAGTGGCAGAGTTGCGGTAGTGGCCTCCTGTGTGACCCTCCTGTCAGGCCAGCCGGCATGTGTGTGGCCCACAGAGTGGCACCCCTACCCTCACCCCCCCAGCCCTGCTCCTGGGCACAGAGGCACACTCCCCCACTTCTTGATCTACCCCCCAACACCTTCCCTTTCCCTCCCCCTGCCCGCCCCTTCTCCCCACACACTTACCTGCTGGGGTGGGTGTCAGTGTCTGTGTCTGCATGTCTGTGGGGCTGTTGCAAGGGGCATCAGGAATGCTGTTGAGACTTGGGGGGGGGGGGGGAGTGAAGGGCATCAGCGCTGGGAGGGGCTGTGGAGGGCCTTTAATTTTTATCATGGATTTGGGGTTTTTAATCAGAGAATTTGCAATTTTTAACCGGAGAAAAAACTTGCTGGGGGGGGGAGGGGCAGGGGAACTGTTTTAAAGTGTTATAACCAGATGAAGGTAATCACTGAGGTTGTTTGATGCAAGTGGGACCACCTAGTGTGGTGGAATATTCATATATTGTTGCACTTGTAAATTCTATTCAAAGTGTTGGTCTTATTATTTTATTTATAATAATTTTTTTCTTCTCTTGATTAATCATTTCTTTTCTGTATATAGTTGAGTATAATAAATAAACCCATTTGTTTATTGGACATTAAAGTAAATGCTTGGGCGGTGAGGGTGAGGGACACATAGGGTTACACAGGCTAATGTGCATTAAAGTGTACGTGTAGATGCTTACAAAGTGTTGGTCTCTCAAAAACCTGCGTCCAGACGCTAAGAGTGCCACCTTGGCCTGAGGCAATGTCTTCAAGCCAACGTACTTTTTAGATATCCTCTTGATCTTCCCCTTTCCTACCAGAGGTACATCTCAGCCAGCTTCCTGCTACCCCTTTTGCTTCTGACATAGTGCTGCTGTTATTTTGTAGCCAGACATTTGAGTGCTGATGAGTTTTGTTCATTTGTGCAACCTTTTTTTTTCTGTAATTGCCAGTTTGCAAATCAATTTCATCGGGGGGAGGTGGGGTGTGGTAACCAAGCTGCTGGCTTCTCTAACCACAGGCTGAGCTGGGAAACAGACTCTGCTTCCTTTCTTTTCCCTGAGCAGACCTTTCACCCTGAAAGATTCCCACAAGAGCAGCCGAATGGCAGCAGAGGGAAGCGCAAAAGCTGGCTAGCTGACTTGCAGAGCTCAACTTTGCCTCTCCCACCCTCGCTGGGCATTTAGGGCATCACTGCAAGCTGGAGCCTGAGTTTCAGGGTGTAAACAGAGGTGGCACATCTCCTTGGAGGAAGCCTTTTGTCCTCAGATCCTAGACCATTGTCCATCTAAAGCAAAATCCAGCTCACGGCTGAATTGGGCCCCTGGTAGACTCCATTTCACAGCAGCCCCTGCCCCTGTGGATTTTTTTCCACAGAAACCCAGAAGCAGTGGGGCTGTGACAACACGGGGCTAAGGTTTCCACAGACACTGGCCCAAGTTGCACTGGCATGGCATGTGGCTGGGCAGGGTGTTGCTTTGGGGCTGGGATTTTGCAGTGGTGACAGCATGGTCCAGAGCAGGGGCAGAGTCACAACCAGTTGCTTACATTCCTCCGCCCTGGGCACGTGGGCAGCGGATTGCAGCTCTGCCCTGGCTCCGGCCCCCATTGTCACTGCTGCAAGATCCTGACCCTGGCCCCAGAGCAGTGCCCTGCCCAGCCACGTGCCTGCCAGTGCTGCTCGGGCTGGTGTCCATGGAAACCCTGGCCCCACCACTTCTGGGGTCTCCATGGAAACTGGCCACAGTGAGGTGGGCAGAGGCTGCTGGGATGGATCTATTTTCCTCACCCCTGGCGTAAAGGCTACAAACAGATGTCACATTTGTCCTGGGCTAAACCATTTTATCCCAGGACAAAGTGCAATTGTTTAGATGTCTATGTCTGTTATGCTGGGATAAACCCTAAAAAGGTTCCTAGGACAAGAAGTATCAAGTTTATCCCAGGGACACTGAAGTCAGCTGTCACCAAACACTGGAAGGGCAGTGCGTGTACTCACCGGTCCCAGGCTATTTCTGTTCCAGGACTTGGGGGAAACTTGTCCAGGAACAAATGCAATGGCTGGTCCTAATCGCAGAGTCATAACTAGTAGCTTTTACACCCTGGGCAAAAACTTGCAGGGGTGGGGGTTTCCAAGTATCAGAGAACTGGGGTGGTGGTGTGAAATATCTGTGTCAGGGTCTCAGGATCCCCAAGTGTTAATGATGCAGCAATCTGCCTGTTGCTGCTGCTTCTACAGTGGCAGCCCAGAGTCCTTGCACACAGCTGCTACCAGTCATGGTGTGGGACCGCTGCAGCACCAGACTCCTTGGGGGAGCTGCTGTTCTGGTGCCTCATCTAAGTGGGTGCCTGGCCTGGTGCCCTGCCCCCCAAGTTATACTGACCTTTAATATGTTTCTTATAATGTTTTAATTCCAGGCTATCCAACTGGTGACCCCAAGGGATTAACATACGGTCTATGGACGCTCACTTGGCTGCACTCCCCAACACTGTTCCTGTGGTGGCCAGAGTCTTTGGAGCATGGCAGCATGGGGTGGGGGGCACAGTGGGCTCACTGCCCATGTGGCAGCACTTGTGTTGCGCTGGGAAACACTCTGGGATGCTGGCTTGTGTTGTCAGTGTGACAATGGCAGTAGGAACTGAACCTTTTCTCTTTCCTCTCCTGTGTGAGAGACAAAAATACTCAAAGTTAAATTTTATAAATCACTTTATTTCTTCCCATGACAGGACACAAAGCCTGACTGACAAGCATTAAATAAAGTGAGTTTATCTCTCCATTTCGGGATCATTTAAAGAAGAAAAGATGCTGTCCCTAGCCCAAACCCCTGCCCTTCCAACATACTTTTAGACCCTTAGGACACAGAAAGTGATTGGATAAAAACAGCTCTGCTGCTGTAGTGTCCCTTTTACAAGGCGGTTTTTTTGTTGTTTTTTTACATGTGCTGCACTGTCTCTTGTGGTGACCTCCTTCTTCAGCTTTAGTGGGGACCACATGGCTTCCAGGACCTGCCTGTGGAGCTGGCTGCAGGATTGAGACCCCAGGGCATGTTCTGAAGCTAGTGCTATACAGACGTGCACAGTGTGGGCAGCCAGCATCAGTGCCTAGCCAGCACATGCATCTCTAAGTACTGTTCAGAAATCCTGGTTGCCATTTCATAGTATTGCTGAGGAAGCCAGCCCTAGGTGGTCCTACCGGTGCTAGCAGAAAGGATCTATGCGCCTGTATATGGGGCACAGGCATGCTTACCATTGTGTGGCGTGGTCTGTGTTCAGGATGGACCAGAGCCAGGGATGTACAACTAGTGCAAAAACTCCAGCCAAGCCTTCTTGTAGTCCTTGATGCTTCCCAGCAGTGCTAGTCTTCAGGACATTGGGGCTTTTGCAGCTCTTATTTGAATACGTGGCAAAGGGTGGAGCTTTTCAGAATTGTTGCAAAAGGCAAATTTTTGCAAGTTGGGGGTTTTTTCTTGTTAACCCAGCTGTTTGTGTTTCTAAAGGGTAGATGGTATTTCCTAACAACTAAAAAAAATGCAGTAAAGTATTTCAGACACTGTGTAGTGGGAAGGAAAGGGAATTTGTTTAGCAAGTCAAAGCTGTTATTCTTTTGTACTAACTGGGAAAGAACAGATTGAATTAATTACCAAAAAATAAAATCAGCAGTCCATGCTGAAATCTTGTTCTGTCTCAGAGAGCATGAGCAAGGGCAAACCTTTGGTTTGCATATCTGTGCTCAGGACTTGGTGACAGGAGAGTGAAGTGGACAGTGTTGATTCACCTCGGGCCCACAGCTGAGATTTCATTTTATTAAATAGTGTTTTTTAAAAAAGTAATATAAATATTATAATAAAAATTTAAAAAGTACTTTAAGTCAGACACATCCTAGGGTAATTGAAATACTCCCCCAGAGTCACAGAAATAGGAGCTTCAGTGCTGGCCAAGTTGGCAAGTAAAAAGTCATCAGTCAGGCACTCCCCTGGATGGTAGGTGGTATGTGTGAGAACCAGAACAGAATACAAGGCTTCCACCATTCAGGAGGAGTGAAGGTGCCAGAGATGAACACAGAGGCTGCATCTACATGAGCGGCAGACTGCACAATTGTTACTATGCCGTAGCGTCCCTGCACATTTTTTTGTTTCCTGAAACTACTGTGCAGTAGCTCATTACTACTGCACAACAGCATCACATCATGGTTAGTGCCTGCCAATGCTACTGCGCAGTGGCGTCTCATGTAGACGCACCCAGAGTGTTGAAGAAAATGGATGTTTGCAAAGAGTTCACAGTAATAAGCTGAGGTATTAGTAAGCCAGGGACAGCCTGTTTCTAAGCAGGACGACACCATGGTTTTTCTACCTTAAGTGTCTCTCCAAACGAACACAAACTGGTTAGGATCCAGAGGCCCAGACTAATTTTTTGAACGCTGTGGTTTCTCTCATTAAACATTAATGACTAGCTAGGCTCCTGGTGTTCTTGCCAGATATCGAGGAACACTGCCTTTTGCAGTGTGATTGCTAGTCCAAGTGTGGCAGCCAGACAGATGATCTCAACAGAAGTTTCATAACTAAGACACTTAAATATCACCAAAGAGCACAGGTCAATCCTCAGAAGTGTACACCTGTTTCATGAAAGCACTCCTGCCTGCCATGCGCCTGATCTCATTGACCATTTTGCTTGGGAAGAATACTGGTGAAAGAAGACTCGTGATGGCAAAAGAAACTCTTTAAAGAGATATTTCTTAGGAACTGCTGGAGTATCCACCCTCAGGGGACAGTCTGCAGACAGTCTGCATCAGTGCTTGCAGTACTAAGAGGCCCATGGCCTAGAAGGTGGCTGCACTGCACCCCCATCATGTACGTGCTAGCAGATTCTCTCCTGAGATGGGATTACAGCTGAGTTAGTTTATAGAAGATTTCCCTGGTGGCCCATTCTGGCATTCTCCTCAACATCCAAAAAAAGATCCTAAAATGTAAAGGGAAGCTTGAAAGGGCAGGGATGTGCTCTCTTAAGAGGCCTAGCAAAACTGCAAGACTCCACTTAAGTAGGAACAACCTGCAGCCTCTTGTCAAATTAATCCCCTCAGCTCTACCATTCACACAGCTGGAGGGGCTGGTGGGCTTTAGACAAGGTCTAGGAGCTACTGGAATACAGATTCACTGTCATTTCAGGCCTTCTCATTTGTAAGCAATGAGGGATCCCATCACACACTCATCTGAAGTGCTGGAGAAGAGGCCACTGTTTTATACAAGATGGTGATTGCCTTTTATGGGGAAGTTTACCTCTGTTGGTAACTCAGGAACTGGCAGACAGGTCCCCTTCCCTGCTGCATGTATGCTGGCATTTCTCTGTCACTGCTACCTGATCTTTTTTCATCTGTCTGTACTGCAAGCTGAAATGCAGTTTGCGACTGCTTCACATCCTATCACATGCATAACTCCTAGAAAAGTAACATCTCATAATGGCTCATCCAACTGTTTGGTTTGTTCCACTAGGTTTCCTCATTGAGATCAGGGCCAAACTCTCCTGGATGGTACACTGAACTGTACTGACAAACACTGGAGTGAGTCCATGCACTCAAAGGCCTGGGAGATGACTTTGCCTGCACAGTGAGGAGGTCTGGGTCCCATGCACAGGACCACTCTTGCTCAGGCCAACTTCTGTATTGTACCATCAGTTAAGACTCTCCAGATGCGACTTCTCTGTGGAGGCAGGGGACAGGGGGAGGAGGAGAGAAAGAGGGGAAGGTCAAGGACAAGCATGCTTCTGAACTAATGACTTATACCAGGACAGCTGCCTGTGGTGAGCAATGAACTGTGCGCTGCAAGCATACCACTCTTGAGCTCTAGAGATGCATTAATGGTGTACCTCAAGGCATAGGTGCAGGGGTGGTGTGTTGTCTTTACAAAAACCCAGTGGCTCATGCGGGGACCACACGGAGCCTTGCTGTGGAAAAATTTTGTGTATTTCTCCCAAATTTGTCTTTTGTGTTTGTGCACGTGTGTTTCCATAAATATTAAACAGTACATATTTTTGCTTTCTTCAGAGATTGAATAATCAAAGGAGACTGTACTTGGCCTGGGCACAAAGGGCACTCAGCGAGCTGAGGGAACCTGCTCAATGTTTATGAAACACTAACCAGTTCCCACAGGACGTCAGCATGTTTCCCCAGGCAGGAACTCAGGGGCAGAACTTCCCTTTCACCAGTGGGGGGGGGTATCAGTCGGTGCTAGGAGTGGCTTGGGCATGCAGGAGCTGTACGGGGTGGGATAGATGACATGGATGGAACTGGATGTCATGGGATCATGACATCCAGGCAGAGAGTTTGCAATGGTGACATCTGTTAGGTGGTGGAAATGGCTCCTGCGCTATGGCCTGTGTTCAGCAGATCAGACAGGACGATCAAAATAGAACCTTCCAGCTTCAACGTGGTTAGTGGTTTTAAAGGAACTACAATGCTAGTCAGTGCTTTCCAGATACCCCTTGTAGGCCTGGTCACGCTGCACCATTCCAGACAGAAACCTGCAGCTCTCTTACTAAAGGGATCCAGCATGCAGTGTCAGCTTCCAGTCTACTCCTCCTTTTCTCAGCTCCTGGCACTTAACTTTATCCACTCTTCCATCTGGTTGGTGGAGGTGTTTAAATGTGAGCAAGTCAATACTGTAGGTGAGAGCTTCCGTCTTCCCTGTATGTATCCAAGAGCCCTCTGAAGATTATCTGACTGAGCCTTATAGTCACCTGCCTCAATTTCCAAGACATGGCAGGGATCACCCTCCATTTTACTCACAGGAGTGCTGAAACACAATGACTGAGTTACTTGAGACTGCGCAGCATGTGAGCTGCAGGTTAGGCCCTCTCTTTACTGCTGACCTTGTGACCACATTGTCTCTCCCTGAGACTGGTATCTTCCTAACCAGCTTCCTTCCTCCTCCTGCTCTGTCCTTTCTGTGATAGCAGCTCCCTCTTTGACAGGGCAGCCAGTCCTGTCGTGGAGTCAAACACCTCCCTGGGACACCTCACTGACAAATTCAATCTGACAGGGAAAGAGACCAGTTAAGAAGCACCAAAGGCTTAAACACTGCCCAAGCTGAGGAGACCATGCAGGAAAGGGCTCTGGTCAAAGGTTACATTCAAGGGGTAATGTCACAGCTGGAGTAATATTCAGGCAGAGCCTTCCAGATCCCAGGATCCCAGGTACTGCCAGACTATAGAAGGGCTAGATCAGGCAGAAGAATCATGGTGCTGAGCAATGCCCAGCTCTTTACCCCACAGTAGTAATGGTGAGGAGGGGTGTAACTGTAGTACCACATGAGCTTGCTTCCTTTTGAGGTCTGGTGACCACAGTTCTGAAGTGCTTAGGTGCTACTGCAGTGATTCAACAAGTGCTCTTATGGTGTGGGCTGCCTCTGGGACAGTGGGAGAAGAGCTGTAGAGGGTATCAGTCTGATTTCTTTGTTGTTCTCGCAGGTAGGGAGGTATAGATGAACTCTTGATGTGCAGAATCCTGGTGTCCATCACTTCGCAGTCTATTTGCATCATGACCTCGTAGTCCGGTCCATTAATTACATTCTCTACAAAAGAAAGGGTCAGAGTCAACATCACAAGAAAGCTGCTGTCAAAAGGCACCAAGTTTGCAATCACTAGCCCTCAGGGAGAGTAGGACATGAGGAGGATAGAAGCACTTCATCTGCAGTACTGCTTATGGTTTCAACTCAGAATACAGTCCCTGCCTCAAGACATTGAGGTGAGTTGGAATGATCCCTGGAAAATGCCTTCCACACAATGCAATCAAATGCTAAAGAAGGAAGGGTAGCTTATTGGTGCAAACCAACTAATCTGCACACCTGCCAGCGACACCCAAAGTGCTTCAACAGTCTTCTTGGTATATACAAACAAAAAGTATTTGGTCTATGCCTTGGACAGTGGAAGACCAATCCACTGATTGTATTAATTCTGCTTCCTCTGCCCTTATCACTGCATTTAGAGACAGATACCAGTCTATGAGAAAATTGCTTCCAAGCCCCGGTCCCTTCCCAATGAAGTCATATTGCAATCACATTGAGTGCTGCACTGTATGTGAGGGGGGCAGCTCTGGCAGGATGGTAGAGGGACACACACACACACACACACACACTCTCTCTCTCTCTCTCTCTCTCTCTCTCTCTCTCTCTCTCTCTCTCTCTCTCTCTCTCTCTCTCTCTCTCTCTCTCTCTCTCTCTCTCTCTCTCTCTCTCTCTCTCTCTCTCTCTCTCTCTCTCTCTCTCTCTCTCTCTCTCTCTCTCTCTCTCTCTCTCTCTCTCTCTCTCTCTCTCTCTCTCTCTCTCTCTCTCTCTCTCTCTCTCTCTCTCTCTCTCTCTCTCTCTCTCTCTCTCTCTCTCTCTCTCTCTCTCTCTCTCTCTCTCTCTCTCTCTCTCTCTCTCTCTCTCTCTCTCTCTCTCTCTCTCTCTCTCTCTCTCTCTCTCTCTCTCTCTCTCTCTCTCTCTCTCTCTCTCTCTCTCTCTCTCTCTCTCTCTCTCTCTCTCTCTCTCTCTCTCTCTCTCTCTCTCTCTCTCTCTCTCTCTCTCTCTCTCTCTCTCTCTCTCTCTCTCTCTCTCTCTCTCTCTCTCTCTCTCTCTCTCTCTCTCTCTCTGTGCTAGAGTCACAACCTGGCCCAGCTGCCTGTGTTGAGTCTCACACTTATACATAACGAAGCATTTAAATTGGTCCATTTGCAGTTACAACACAGCCAGTCCTTCCATGTGAATTTACAGTGACGTCAGAAATGAACACATTGCTCGCTATTTTTTTGCTTTTTCACCTGTACACAATAATCATTTCCATTTGCATGGCATACTGCTCATTACTGAGTGGCTGCTCCTGAAGTACTAAAATGGTAATACTGACTTAAAGTAAGGCCTATTTAAGAATATCAAAAGCATTTGTTTTTACTTCATGTTTTAAGTTGCTTAATAATCCTGCGATCCCCTGGATAGTTAGCATTCAGAAAAGTTTCTTCACCAGATTAAAACAATGTTAAAATAATTCAAGCTACTTAACTCTGTCTCATTAATATTCCCATCTGGTTGCTACACCCAGACATATTATTTATTGCAGTTCAGTCTGTAAAGGACAGTGCAGTAACACATCAACACTAAAACATTAACACATGGTTTAACAGGTTTGACGTGCAGAACTGCAAAATCCAAGTGTGGAAAAACAGTTTGAAATGAGGCTATAATGAGGAGATGATGACACTGTCTACTGCCTGCAGAGTGCCTTTGATCCCAGAGAGCTTTTAAAAGGTACACACATGCAGCCACCTCTGGGGCAGAGGCCATCTACCATTCAGCTGGCTACATACTGCACGGCAGTAGTAATGGAGTAGATTGCTTGGGGTCAGATCCTATTCCACCTACTAGGGGCCTAAGAGGACTTAGGACACCTCAATGCAAGCCCTCGTTCCACCTTCCTTGAGTCTCTGAAGAATGGTTAACACATCTATTTTTATTACATGCTGTCATCTTAGCCTTAAGACTAAGTCAGAAAATGCAGAAAGGAGGAGGAGATTCCACCCACCTTTTGCATTAATGCTTTTTCAGGCACTCAGCGTGGAATAAGATCACACTTAGTCACCTCTGTTCATTCAGGGAATCTAATAGGTGGAAGAGGATCTTGGTCTAGAGCTAGACTCTTCTGTGTCTGTGGGGTAGAAAGGAGCTCAGCTGTTTTGGGTTTATCAATCTACAGACTCATAGTATATAGGCAGCCTCCTAGCTGAGAAACTCCAGCTCTGAATCCAGGTAGTTGTATACAGCAACCCTGCTGCTCCTGGGACAGTTCATATTTACTAGAGATGAAACTTTTGGGCATTCCTATTTGGCATTTATCTTGGCACGCTGCAGGCTGAGCAGTCTGTCCAAAGCTTGGTATGGTTGCATCTGGGGCTCCGAGAGGGGCTCATCTCAAACATTTTGGACAGTCCTATTCATACATGTGCTAAATGCATTTGTTTGCCTGTGGGGATACGATGATTACTTCTAGAATACTGTTTTGATTTAAAACTCAGGCTACAACTCTTGCACGGAGGCACGAACAAATAACAACTTAAGATGGGTATCTCTGTGTGTGTCTGCATGGGACTACAAGTTCTCTCTCTGCCCACCACCAGCCCCTTACTGTCAAATGTCTACACACTTCCACGAACTGCAACCTGGGGAGTTCACTTGTTTGCAGATAGGGTAGGCATAGAGCTGGCTGCAGAATAAAACTGGATCAGCTGCTTATCATCTTGAGTTTGAAAATGGGAGACACATTAGTTGTTCTGAATAAAGTCAGTGTGTCTGGGGATAGGTCACTGGGGACAAAGGACAGAGATTAGATTTCAAGGGACGAGCAATCATTGCCTTTTAGAACTGGGAACCCTGCGGCAGTTAGAAGAGTTTGCTCTCTGTGCCTAGAGATGGAAGATTGTGTAATGGAAAACGTATGGATCAGATGCATGCAATATACATTACTAATTTTACTGCTTTCCTGGATTAACTTTGATTCTGGCTGACAACTCACAATTGGGGCTGCACCCTCTCATGCCCAGCACCACCTGCAGAAACCATTAGAGCAAATACATCTGGTGCTGTAATGAAAAGCAGGAGATGACCTAGTCAGTGAGGCTGTTGGCCTGTGAGAAGAATCAGAGCTCCCACCTGCAGAAATGAATTGGAAAATGCCTGATTTCTCTCTGGCTCTGAGTTGAACACTAAGGGACTATGATTAGGGATTGGCTGTGCCTCTTACTCAGCTGAGAGTTCAGGCTCTGGTGCAGAACATCTAGATAAAGTGCTTGGTACTTCCTGGGCAAGAGCACTATAGGGGTCCCTAGTTTGTGCTCACATGGCAGGTTCTCATTTGTATGAGATAAGTTCTTCAGCTTGCAAAGTGTCTTTGGTATTTCTGCTGGCCTGTCTCTATCCTTGCTGCCTTCCTAAAGCATTTGGCGGAGAAAATGCGGCTAGCACAGCTTTTTGGTATGCTCACATCTGGTGACCTTGCCTATTAGTATGATCCACTGCTTTGGTCTTAGCCACTAAGAGATGCTGATGATTGGAGCAACTGAAGGAGGGCTTGGCTAGGCTAGCTGATAGCTGGTGGACAGCACTTCTGTAGCACCAGCAGATCAATAGGACTGAGATGGGGACACATCCGGAGAATGGAATAGATGGAACTGTAGGAAAAACAGAATCCAAATCCCCCTCCAGTCCTGTATGATGTTTCCGAAGCTCTACTGAGCATGAGGATGCACTGGACAGCTTTGGTACTAGTATAGGAGCTCGAAGAGGGCCAACTTGGTCTCTGCAGTTGTGCAGTATTAATTTTCGGAGCTATCAAGTGCCCCTTACTTATAGGTGACCTAGTGTGACAAATACTCCTTTTCTCGATTCCTGATTGGGTCAGGCATGCATGCCAGCACTGTTCTCCCTGTCAAATAGCCTACAAGAAACACACGCTTAATGCAGTTTCGCTTAGTGCTATTTTGCTATAGCGCCCATTTAAAATTCATACCTGATTTCACTTAGCACTGAGCCAGTTTTGTTATAGCGCTCAGCAAAGCAGCACTGGTGGCAAGAAGCAGTGAGTGACAGCGAGTGGGCGGGCAGGCATGACCTTGGGGCCTGCACTGGTGCCCCAGGGCCAAGGCCAGCAGGGGCCCAGGGCAGGGCAGCAGGAGCAGGGGGCCTGGGCTGGCACATGGTGCTGGAGCGGCTGGTGGGCGGGGTGGGGAGAAGCGGAGGCAGCAAGAAGCAGTGAGTGCAGAGGCAGGCATGACTGTAGGGCCCTTGCCAGTGCCGGCAGGGTCCAGGGTGGGGGCCCCGGGCTGGTGCGTGGTGCTGGCGTAGCTGGCGGGTGGGGGAGTGGGGAGAAGCAGTGGCAGGGAGAAGCAGTGAGTGTGGGGCCCTGTGGTCCCGGAGCCGGCAGGAGTGCGGGGCCAGAGCGGCCAGCAGGCAGGTGGAAGGGTGGGGAGAGGCAGCGGCAATGGTGAGAAGCTGTAACCAATTATTTCTATTTACATTAATGCCTATGGGGAAATGGGTTTCACTTAATGCTTGGTTTTCCCGGAGCCAATTAAGAGCATTAAGCGGGGGTTGCCTGTACACCTACTGCACCAAGGGCGAAGCCTGTAGTTTGAGTACCTGAGAATGTAGCAGGACCAAAAGTCCCAGGCCTCAGTGTTGTTGCTATACCTAGGTTTGGCATTTCCATTTTGCATTAAATTTGGCTGCCTCTCAGTTAAGTAACATTCAGAAAAGCATAGAGCTTGAATTACATCTTCTGTTTATGGGCCTGTGTTAACTCTGACTGATAGCTTTGGAGGATTACATAAGTGAAACAAGGGAACACATCTCCTGTAAAGGCGGCTAGATTTATAAATAGATTTACTGCTCTTCTTTACACTTCATAACATATAGGCCTTTGTGCTGCTAAACCTCAAAATTAAATTTCAGAACAGTTTTAAAATGGCTCTAGCCTACTTTCATGCTGAACTGCCATTCTACATTGCATCTAACAAACCGTTAGCGTTGCTTAACCAAACACTTTT